TAGAAACTTAACCAATATGGCAGTCCCTGAATTTTTGGGGGTAAATCCCTCACTGTCTAGGCTGCTTGTTCCTTTCTGCTCACCAAGTTCAATTTCTCTAGTGTCATCAATGCAATGGACCAGCTGATGATCTGTAAAATATCAAGATGATCAAGGTTTCTTTGAACTATATATGACATCAAGTAGAATTAGCATAGCCTTGAGAAAGGACAGCAAAGATATAGTGATGACCCTACTATGTGAAGGCAGAGTTCTCTGATTGTCTTTACTTGTAGGAATAGAAAAGAAAATATTTGCTGGGCAAATAGCTACATATTAGGTGCCAGTGGCTGTATTAACTTGCTCTAGTAAATATACTATAAATGGAACCCATGAAGTAATCAGCATATCCACCTCATTAAGTGCATAATAATCTACTGTCATTCCCCAAGACCTACCTAGCTTTACCATCTGCCAAACAAGGGAACAAAATGGGGATATGTACCAATCCCCACCTCTGAATCATTTAGGTTTACCATTGGTGCCACTATTATTTTCAATTCCCCCAGAGATAAGGTATTATTTTTTATTTACTATATTGGGAGGGGGAGGCTGGGGGTCTTTACTCCATGGATCAGGGAACTAAAATGAGGATTTTGTTAGTCTATCCTCACTATGTTTTAATAGGTTTTATTATTATTTAGATATGGTAAGGCTAACAGACCAAGAGACGACTGCCATTAAAAAGATAGTTTGTTATTCACAGATCGGAAGAGGAAGGGGCATGCCATGCCATGGTGAGGCCACCAAGGGAAGCACCGGGGTCAGTCAGGAGGCAGAAGGAGAGGGAGGAACTGTGGACAAGAGTCCTTATTGTGGTTTCCACGGTAAGAAACAGCCAGAGCTGCTGCCTTCGAGATCTATCTGAGGTTGAAAGGAGGGAGAGCTGAGGCCTGGGTGGGACAGGGCCTGAGGACACCACAAGAGGGCAGGCCACAAGAGTCCCTGTGTTTCCTCTCTTAAATTGTCAGACAACCTGCAGAGAAAACCCCATTGCTTTATAGGAGGAAAAACCCCTGACGGCCAGGAACAGGGCAGGTGCTGAATTTCTTTTGCTTGTGTTCTGTATGTGGACTTTCAAACTGAGCCAATTTAAAAGTGGCCAACATAGAACCTGAATCATAAATTACGGCAATTCATGACACAAACTCAATTCAGATTTAAAGGGTGAGTTGCCTTCTCAAGAAAAGTGATGCAGCTGGGAAACTTAGAGAAAAGGGCCCGTCTCCAAACTCAGAGAAAGGGATGATAATGGAAGAATTTTACAGACTCCAACTGAAACGCAGCCCCTCAGTGAGTGTCCATGACACTCTGAGCTAAAGCCAAGGGGCCACCTTGACAGTTGGTGGCATGGAGGACATTAACTAAATTTTCCTATACAAGCCACCCTCAACTTTATCTCTGCAATCAAGTCATCTCATTTCATAAGAACAAGGTAATAATCCCAGCCAATGAAAAAACAGAAGAGAATAAAACGTCAGATCTTTCATCAGTTAAAAAATGCAGTTTGGCAAAGACTGAGAACTGGGCTATCTTTTGCTCCCGCAACCCCAGTTCAGCCACTGCCTTACACTTGTAGAGCATTTTCTAGATTACAGTACTCTTCACACTTCTAATCTCCCTACATCCTCAAACCCACAACGTGAGCAAGCAGGGCAAGGATTACTAGCTCGATTTTGCAGATTAGGAAATTATTTAAAAAAAAAGAGAGAGTTGTATGCATGGCTGAAGCACCACAAAAACCCCTCAAAGGGTGTTGGAAACTTTCAGGACAAGCAGTGCTTCTTAGACATTTTCCGCCTGTGTGACTTCTTTCCAGTGTTTTCTCAACCCTAAAATACTCAGTTTTTCTTTCCACAGGAACACAATTGTTCTGGGCCACCTTTCACTTTCTGCTAGTATTTCTTTATCCAGGTCTACATTTCTAGGTTCCTTTTTCACACACAGTGTGCATACAATGGCTCAGATTTTCTTTCTTAGTCCTGCCTGAGCTCTCACATATCCTATTGATCTTTTTTCTCCTACCTAAGGACACTTTTTCCTTCTGCTGCTCTTTGAGTATCCCTTTGGTTCATTTCTCTTATCTTTTATCAACTCCCCAACCCCTGATTTCCTAGGTTCCTAATTTACCTCTCTACTTTCAAGTAGTCTTAGTCTTGCATCAGAAGCACACAGCTCTGCTGTCATAACAAAGAACATTTGCATTTTTTAGGACCACTTTACAAACTGATTTGGCAGAAAGAAGGGCACTTTCCTGAAGGCTAATAAAGCTTTAATAACATTCTCCTACCACAAGTGCTTGGATGTTAAACTCTGCGCATTCCTGAAACCACACAACACCCTCTGTGTGAATACGTGTAAAAATCATATACTAGTGTTTCATTCAGCTAAGTGTCTTTGGCAAAAACTATGATGTTCCTGAAACCAGGTTCCTTGTTTCTGGCACAATCATTTTTCTTTCCTATGAAATCTTGCTATTTTGTAATAAACTATTTGTATTGGTAAATGTGTTCTACACTTGTGAAATAATCCTTGTGGCACAAGGATCTGGTGCTTTCCTTAAGGAAATGAGAATGTCTAAATAAAACAAACATGAGATCTACATTCAGAGGATTTTGTACATTGCATTTATTGCCCAGTAAGGGACCTGATGTTCCACAAAACATGCAAAGAAGATACAACATAAAGTGTTTATAGTTTAGATCAAAAACAAATGTTGTCATTTAGTCTCCTGGTATATAGCAGGTACACAATAAATCTTTGTTGAGAAAATATCAGCTCTAACCCCAATCCATAGTCTCTCACCATCACTATGTTATACAGTCTGAGAAGTAGTAAGGAAATTAAGGGTCATTTTATATAACCGCTAGTTCACATCATTATGGCTAAATAATGTTGAACTAAATAACTTAGAGGACTTTCTCCAGGTAGATGCATCTATAATTACAGACAAGAAAATGAGAAAAAAAGAAAACCTTGCCATTTTTTCCACATGAAGTAGGCAGCAGGAGTAATGATGGCTAATGGTTTTATTCCTGTGTGTCCAGTAAATCATGATCACAGACTATGGAGACTTCTTACCAATTCAGGGAGTTTAGACCGATATTTCTTCTAGGTGCCTAAATGGGTATCAGGAACTTCTCTGGCTTTTATCTGTTTAATTTTTTCTCCAGAAAACTCATTGTTTAACCTATTTCTCACTACATTTTTTCTTACGGCCTCATAAATACTGATCAAGAACAGTAATTGGAGGATTAACAACCAACGTTGGGGGCAAATGGAAGGTCTAATTAGAAGAATGGTTCTTGTGGGTTTCTTAAGTCAAAATCTAGTCCCTTATATCTTTACTCTATAGACTTGATCCTACACCTGGGGCAGAGTATTACTCATGGTAACTTGGCCACTCAAGTTTTAATAAAAGCATCATTTGAGTTGCAATGTGAAATATTCTAGCATTCTTGTTGCCAATAATGTACATTCTTTTGAATGCTTGCTAAGCATTGTTCTGGTCTGAACACAGAAGAAAGTTGGTCTAAACTTTGCCCAGACTTGTGATGCAGCTTAGGGTATACATCTGTGCCTGGTTTTCACTGGGAGAACACATTTCCTTTATGTGCCTACCTCAAGTGTCACTTCTCGAGCTCCTCTGCCTCCTTTACTGGACCTCTGTATGTTAGAATACCGCAGCATTCAATCCTCAGACCCCTTCTCTCTCTCTCCATTCCTTCTCCAAATGATGTCAACTAGTGTCATGGCCTCAAATGTCATCTATATGCTGGTGTTTCTTAAATTTCTCTTTCTCAGCTCCCTCGCAAGCTCCAGACCCAAACAGCAAATTGCCCTGCTTCACATTTCCATGAAGATGCTCGAGAAGCATCTCAAATTTTGTGTGGCTAAAACTGAATGATTCGTTCACTCATCTCCACCCTTTATCTACTCCCTCACAAGTAAATACCACAACCATTCATCCAGTTGCTCAGGCTAGAAAAGAAAGGAGAAATTGTTTAAAACTCTCAAGTGGCTGCCAATTAAATAGACTAAGTTTAAAAAAAAATCCCATTAACATGTCCTAGATGATTCTACGTGATCTGGCTCTTCCTACCTCTCCAAGATATCGCCCTCCAATACTTTCTCATTCACACTATTCCAGCCCCACTGGCCTTTCTGTTTCCCAAATACCACAGATTCCTCCCTGTCTTGGGCCATTTATACTTCCTGGTTCTTCTATTTGAAAAATTTTTCCTTCAAGCAACCAAAGTGGGGCTGCTGACAATGTTAGGTATACCTACTCCACTTATGTATTCCTGAGATGCCTAGGGCACAGTGGAAACCCAAGAGGGAAAAGAAATGGGCTAAATTCATGAGGAACAATGTCTATTTCTTAATCCGTCTCCTGCCCCAAACAGCTCTGCTCTCCTCCCCTAACTTGTGTTTACGTGTCTCCTTTGCGTCATCCAGACCATTCAGTTCTCAGCTTACATTTCACGGCCTCACGGAGGCCTCCCTGACCAACATGGCTAAAACAGCCCTAAACAAAACTCCATGGCCCCAGACACAACTTATCTTGTCTTATTTATCATCTTCATATCATTTGTCAGAACCTGCAATTATCTTTCTAATTCACATGCTTACATGTTTATTGCTTACGCTCCCCACCCCTTGTCTCAAATATAAAGACTCTTAAGGGCAGGGATTGTGTGTGTCTGTTCCCTCTAACTAGAACAGTCTTTGATGTGATGGCTATAACAGGCGCGTGGAAAACAGCTATTATTATGAAAGTTGCAAGGAGCCAGAGGTGAACACGTTTTCCAAAAATTTCAACCATATTTCCCATTTTGGGGAAAATGACTCTGAGGCTTTGTCTCTCCTAAGCTCTTTTAGAGCTCTAAGATTTATCTTACGATACTTAGAAGTATCTTACCTAAACAAGTAAAAGACAGATGAGACATCAGGCAGTTTGTATTAGTAGACTGCAGACTTTCATTAGAACAAGCATTTCTTACATCTGTAAGCAAAGTGTTAGAATTCATCAAACTAACACATCTTTTCTCTGCTACACCCAGGGCTGAAAAGGGAGAGAAAACCCCTTCCCCATGGATAGGATTGTAGAGCAAAGCATTTCAGTGAAGGATTCATTGAGGCTATAAATGTTTGCAAATGCTAAGGAACTGGAGGACAGGAGGGCATGTGAGATGGGACAGGGCACAGATAAAGGATTTCCAGCATGCCCTGCCTCGTCTGACAATCTCCTGGCTTCCACGGCAGGCACCCAGGCACAAGAAGCATGAACACAGCATATTATTCTCATTCAGATCCCAAGTAATCCAAAAAATTTCACAGTTCTACTCCCACCACAACTTAACAGAAGATAAATTATATGTTATCAACTTGCCACTGCACTTCATGGAAATTATACCTCAATAAACAAGATTTTTATGAATGACTTTGTGCTTGGTGCACTTCAAAGAGCCCCTGATGTGAACCACAAAAGAATTGCCCGATTTATTGAAAGCATTTTTGCTGTGACTCCAAGGGCAGACCACGTGGGAATTACTTTTTAATACCCAGCGGGCAGGACACTCCGGTGCCCCCAAGGCCGCAGTACCCATCGGGGTTCTTGCTCAGGTACTGCTGGTGGTAATCCTCGGCGTAGTAGAAAGTCTGTCCCTCCAGGATGTCGGTGGTGATCGGGCCGTAGCCGTGCTCTGAAAGAACCTGTGGAGACAAAGGCACCATCATGACCCGATGCTGGGCAGAGGTCATCTGAAGGAGGAGGGACAGGGAGGTTGGGATGTGAGGGAGGCAGACACAAGTGGCTGGGGATGTGCAGTGGGTCCTTGTGGGCCTGGGCCCTGCCACTTCCCAGCTGGGTTATTCTGGGCAAGGTCTTACTTCCCTGTGCCTCAGATGACTGGGGTTTGAAATCAGGTTTTCCAACCCTGTAATTTATGCTCTACCCATTACACCATCTCTGCCCCGGTGCGTGTGTGGAGCCCTCGTTTGGGCCCTGTGGGTCTGTGTGAAACTGGCCCCAGTGCTCTCCCAGGGGAAACAACAGGGACGTGTGGCTCCCTAGCTGCGCTGGGAAGAATGGGTGTCCCTGAGAGCACTCAGGCAGGGCTGCAGTGGGAGGGGACGAAAGGGCAGGACAGGAGAGGGAAAGGGCAGCGCTGTCCCCTCTGCCCCCAGCTCAGGAACAGGGCCCCTGTTCACTCCCAGGGAGGACAGAGGACCCCCACTTACTCCTGTGGTTCTAGGGAGCAGGGATCCTGCCGGGATGCCCTGGAGGGCAGAGGACCATTTGGGGTCTGGGCTCTGCCACTCTAGGCCCAGGAGCCTGGAGAGGGAGGTCAGGGGAGAATGTGGCCTGAGGGCCTGTGTTAGCTCATCACCACCCTCTGTGACCTAGTTGAAGGCCTGGTGACATCTGCTGCCGGGGAAAGAAACAGACACGTAAACACAAATGGGGGGAGGAGAGCAGAGCTATTTGGGGCAGGAGACAGATTAAGAAATAGACATTGTTCCCCATGGATTTTAGCCTGTTTCCTTTCCCTTTTGGATTTCAGCTGTGCCCTAATTCTTTCTTGTTACAGGCTGTGTGGAGTATTTGAGCACAAGGCTACAGAGACTCGACCCAAGTTTCCTCGATTCTAGTTGGCACCAAGGCGCAAGGTGAGGACTCCGGAGTTGTGTTTCCATAAGGGAACTGACCAGTCTCTAACTGTCCGTTGGTGCATTTGAGATGAAGTCCTCAAATCGGCAGGGCACGGGGAATCCAATATTAATATTCAGCATGATTCACTGCGGCAGTTTTTCCCTGAGAACTTTCACCTTTTTCCTGAATCTCTATCCAGCCCTCCGAGCCAGAATGAGGCAGATTGCGGATCTGACACCAAGCGGGCCCAGGATGGTAAGGGACAGGATCCTCGCCAAGACGGGTGGATTGGACCCCACAGCTCAGAAGCAGCCAGTTTCCTTACAGGGGTTAGGAATGAGATTGAGGAGCCATTCTGACTTCAGTTTTGACAATTTTTTTGTAAACGAGCAATTATTGAGGGTTTACCATATGCCACACTCTGCGCAAAGACTTTACAATGTTAATTTTAGCCTCACAACAGCCATCTGAAGGAAGTGCTATTATTATTATCCATATTTAAAAGCGTGTGTCAGATAGTGTGTCTTGATCCCCGACACTCTCAGCTCGCCCTGGAACTGCACAGGCTGAACGCTTGGAAACTACCTCTCCCAAACGGTACTGCCAGCAGCACTCCAGTCGCGACTCCACCAATGAGAGGAGCACACGTGAAACTGGGCAGGCTCAGTCAAGGGAGAAGCCATTGTTTGCAAGGTGCAGCTGTGAGGATGGCACAGGTATGCGGAGAGAGCAGCCCTGAGACTCTGCAGCAACTCCCGAGAATCATTCACTGTCTGCTGCAGACAATCATGCAGAAATTGCATGATTTCTAGCAATTTCTATAACTTCCTGGCATCCTGAAATCCAGTGGTGCTTTTCCCTGACCCTCCCTCCAACAGCCTTTCTAATGATTCTGGAAGCACCAATTCCTTTTGTAAAATCCACCCTGCATGAAATAACGCTAACACTCTGTTTCCATGATGGAACTCCGGCTAACACAGCATTTGGTGCCAGAATGGTTTTCAGGAACCAAACCTCAATGAGAATGAGAATCTGGGGCTGGTTACCTGTCCTGGTTAGATTTAGAGTTGGGAATGACCTCAGTGTGAGTGGAAAACAGATCAGTGCCCACAGTGTGTAACGGCAACATGTTTACTTAAAGCATCCCTAGTATTCGCCTGTGAAGAAGTGCCCACTGAAGGAAGGCTTTGGGACACCAGGTGGCTGTGGCAGTGGAATATTCTGGTGAAGATGATAAGCATGAGGTCTGGGGTGTGCTGGCTGCTTCAGGCAGCACTCGAGACCTTGTAGGAGGTAAAAGATGCCAGGTGAGGACTTGACATTCCTGGCCCAAGTTCAGAGAGCCAGAGAACTTCTAGGACTGTTTGAAATCATCTCTTGTTTCTTGTAGCTGTATCCAAATACCAAATCAACAGATGGATCCTGAGGGTTCCAGATTACAAGTGGAGGCCACATCCTCCCTCGGTCTGAAGCCCAGTGACCCCCTCAGAGAGCTCGTCCACGCACACTGTTTTGGACACCGCCCATTGAGAGACGCTTACCCCCTATGCATGCTGACACGAGACTTCCGTGTTCTGTGTTGACCTCATATTTTGACCTCAAAAGTTTCCCCGCTGTGGCCACACTGAATGGGAGCCTGCCCACTGTCGAGATCCTCTGCCCCCTCCCCTGTCTTCCTCACCCTCAGGGCTAGGACACGGCTCCCAGGTCTGCCCATGTCTCTGCTCACTGGCCTCATCCAGCTCTGTCCTCTCTGAGGGCGACCTCCTCACACACTGCTCGCCCTGACTTCTCTCCTTCACAAATGGCCATCCTCCTTGTATGAACAAGGATGGCCTTCCCGAAGCCCCGGTGGTCACAGCCGCTGTCTCCAGTAGCTTCTCTACCCGAGGCACGGAGGCTGGTGCCAGGAGCGCTATTGCCCAGGCCCCCCTCCTCCTCTCCATACCAGCTTTCACCAATCCACAGACCACTCCAGAGGGGCAGCATCCCTTTTGGGGAGCAGTGGGAAGGGAGGTGTGACAATGGGGGCCCAGGCAGTACCAGGCCTCTGCCACAAGATGGCAGACACTTCACTTTTATTTGAGAGGAAAAACAACCAAGAATAAACAGTGATGAAAACCCACAGACAGCAGAGCTACAAACCGCCCTCCTCCACCTCCCAGTAAACTGGGACATTCCGCCCAGGTCTTGTTGGGGTGGCAGACACACGCTGGAGCCACCAGGTCAACATCATCCCCTCAGCACGGGGCTGTGGCTGTCCTCAACCCTCTCTCTGAAACTGGGGGAGAAGGGTCAACAACGGGCAAAAGAAACCAGATGTGGAAGAAGAGAAGTGGGAAAATGAAAAGTCCCATCTAGTCTCTATTTTCCCTCCTTCCCCACAGCCCAGGCCTCGGCTTTCTCACTTGCAAGTCCCTGCCCTCAGCCCCTCCCAGGGCCTGTTTCCTCGGGGGGTCTTGCCAGACACACACAGCCAGATGTGGTGCACGGGGTTCCCGTGGTGGCTGTTTGTTTGTTGTTTTCGATCTTCACGGGGTTCCCGTGGTGGCTGTTTGTTTGTTGTTTTCGATCTTGTCTGTCCTGTCAGTGTCACAGTTGTCCTCCTTCTTGCTCTTTAATTCCACCCCTTCCACTGCACGTGTCCCCTCTACGTGCTGGGCACCAGCTACAGGGTTAAACGGCACATGACGCCTCCCTCCAGGGACTCGGTCTGAAGCTGGGAGAGCACGTGCTATAACAGCACCTCCTTAAACCACAGAGCGGAAGCCTCCCCCGGAACTCTCAGGAGAACCCGCCAGCCCTCCCGTGCTGGCCTCCACGCCACCTCCTCAGCCTCGGCCCCCTCGCCGTTTTCTGACTCTTTCCTTTCCCTTCCTCTCTGACACTGTTTTCTTGGGTCGTGTTGAACTTTATATAACTCCTGAACACTCCATTCCCTTGCACACGACCTACTTGGAAGGTTCTTTCTTCTCTTCCCTATCACAGGAACTCCTACCCATCTCTCAAGACCCAGATCCAATGTCCCCACCTCTACAAAAGGATTCTATAAGGCAGAAGTTGCTCCCTCTTCTGTGCTCCCACAACAGGACGGTCTCTTAGAGGGCTTGTGACATTGCATTATAGTTATCCTTCGTCTCTCTACGCACTTCCACGCCCCTCCAGCAATCTACAGACTAGACTGCGTGCTCCTTGAGAGCGTGGACTGTCTTGTTTCTCTACCTCATCTCAGTGCTTAATATATAAGAAAGAAATTAATTAATTAATTTGAAAAAAGAACAGTTGAGTCTTGGGGTTCTCTTGAAGATTTTCTCGACCTTTGGGGCTTCTACCTGGGTCCCTGCTGCTGCTTCAAGCTGAAGCGCCTCCTTGGGAACCTGAGAAAGAGCAGAGAGAGGGCTTGGGGATGGTAGGACCGGGGGACCAGGGTGCTCAGGCTGTCACCTTCCTCGCCACAGGACCCTGGCCAATTCCATGAGTGGGTTTACTCTTTAGACCGTGGCAAGCGGTGGCTGTGTCCAAGCAGGGAGGACCAATCGTCTTCCACAGAAGGATGGCCTTAGTGTCCCCCACAGCTCCTGAGAAAGCCCATTCGCTCTTCTGGGGGGTGAGTGGGGTGATGCGGAAGGTGGAGAAGCGGGAGGAAGCGGGAGATGAAGACTGGGTTACCGATCGTTCTTCTGGGCCCGCAAGTCCACTGGTCAGTTTGGCCCCAAGCCCAAGCAGGGGGCACCTTGGTCTTCCGACCCCTCTCCTGTGACATCACCAAACACTAGGTGCTCTAATCAGTTATCAGGGGTCATAAGTAATTTGTTACTGACATCAAAATTTGTGAGTAACTTACTTTTCCTCAATGAATTAGAGCAGACAGAAGGCTATCCTGATCCTGGCGTCACTCCTGCCCACTTGCCCACTAGAGTGAGAGGGAAGGGAGTGTGGGGAGGGCTAGAACTGGGGGCAGCACATAATCCACAACCTGTGTGGTCTCTCCTACCATCCCTGAGGGGCCCCCGTGCCCATGATGGACCAGGCCCGATTCTAGAAATGATGACTCACATCA